TACCTACTGGTCTCCTGTACGTTATGTTTTGGTGTCTTGTTGATACCTACTGGTCTCTTGTACATTATGTTTTAGTGTCTTGTTGTTACCTACTGGTCTCATGTACATTATGTTTTGGTGTCTTGTTGATACCTAATGGTCTCCTGTACATTATGTTTAGGTGTCTTGTTGATACCTACTGGTCTAATGTACATTATGTTTTAATGTCTTGTTGATACCTACTGGTCTCCTGTGCATTATGTTTTGGTGTCTTGTTGATACCTACTGGTCTCTTGTACATTATGTTTTAGTGTCTTGTTGTTACCTCCTGGTCTCCTGTACATTATGTTTTAGTGTCTTGTTGGTACCAACTGGACTCCTGTACATTATGTTTTGGTGTCTTGGTGATACCTACTGGTCTCCTGTACATTATGTTTTGGTGACTTGTTGATACCTACTGGTCTCCTGTACATTATGTGTTGGTGTCTTGTTGATACCTAATGGTCTCCTTTACATTATGTTTAGGTGTCTTGTTGATACCTACTGGTCTACTGTACATTATGTTTTAATGTCTTGTTGATACCTACTGGTCTCCTGTACATTTTGTTTCGGTGTCTTGTTGATACCTACTGGTCTCATGTTCATTATGTTTTGGTGTCTTGTTGATACCTACTGGTCTACTGTACATTATGTTTTAATGTCTTGTTGATGCCTACTGGTCTCCTGTACATTATGTGTTGGTGTCTTGTTGATCCCTAATGGTCTCCTTTACATTATGTTTAGGTGTCTTGTTGATACCTACTGGTCTCCTGTACATTATGTTTTGGTGTCTTGTTGATACCTACTGGTCTCCTGTACATTTTGTTTCGGTGTCTTGTTGATACCTACTGGTCTCATGTACATTATGTTTTGGTGTCTTGTTGATACCTACTGGTCTCCTGTACATTATGTTTTGGTGTCTTGTTGTTACCTACTGGTCTCCTGTACATGATGTTTTAGTGTCTTGTTGTTACCTACTGGCCTCCTGTACATTATGTTTTAGTGTCTTGTTGTTACCTACTGGTCTCCTGTACATTATGTTTTAGTGTCTTGTTGTTACCTACTGATCTCCAGTACGTTATGTTTTGGTGTCTTGTTGATACCTACTGGTGTCCTGTACATTATGTTTTGGTGTCTTGTTGATACCTACTGGTCTCCTGTACATTATGTTTTGGTGTCTTGTTGATACCTACTGGTTTTCCCTGTGCATTATGTTTTGGTGTCTTGTTGATACCTACTGGTCTCCTGTACATTATCTTTTGGTGTCTTGTTGATACCTACTGGTCTCCTGTACATTATGTTTTTGTGTCTTGTTGATACCTACTGGTTTTCCCTGTGCATTATGTTTTGGTGTCTTGTTGATACCTACTGGTCTCCTGTACATTATGTTTTAGTGTCTTGTTGATACCTACTGATCTCATGTACATTATGTTTTGGTGTCTTGTTGATACTTAATGATCTCATGTACGTTATGTTATGGTGTCGTGTTGATACCTACTGGTCTCCTGTACATTATGTTTTGGTGTCTTGTTGATATCTACTGGTCTCCTGTACATTATGTTTTAGTGTCTTATTGATACCTACTGGTCTCCTGTACATTATGTTTTGGTGTCTTGTTGATATCTACTGGTCTCCTGTACATTATGTTTTGGAGTCTGTTGATACCTACTGGTCTCCTGTAGATTATGTTTTGGTGTCTTGTTGATACCTAATGGTCTCCTGTACATTATGTTTAGGTGTCTTGTTGATACCTACTGGTCTCCTGTATATTATGTTTTGGTGTCTTGTTGATACCTAATGGTCTCCTTTACATTATGTTTAGGTGTCTTGTTGATACCTACTGGTCTACTGTACATTATGTTTTAATGTCTTGTTGATACCTACTGGTCTCCTGTGCATTATGTTTTGGTGTCTTGTTGATACCTAATGGTCTCATGTACATTATGTTTTGGTGTCTTGTACATTATGTTTTGGTGTCTTGTTGATACCAACTGGTCTCCTGTACATTATGTTTTGGTGGCTTGTTGATACCTACTGGTCTCCTGTAGATTATGTTTTGGTGTCTTGTTGATACCTACTTTTGTCCTGTACATTATGTTTTGGTGTCTTGTTTATATCTACTGGTCTCCTGTACATTATGTTTCGTTGTCTTGTTGATACCTACTGGTCTCCTGTAGATTATGTTTTGGTGTCTTGTTGATACCTAATGGTCTCCTTTACATTATGTTTAGGTGTCGTGTTGATACCTACTGGTCTACTGTACATTATGTTTTAATGTCTTGTTGATACCTACTGGTCTCCTGTATATTATGTTTTGGTGTCTTGTTGATACCTACTGATCTCCTGTACATTATGTTTTGGTGTCTTGTACATTATGTTTTGGTGTCATGTTGATACCTACTGATCTCCTGTACATTATGTTTTGGTGTCTTGTTTATACCTACTGGTCTCATGTACATTATGTTTTGGTGTCTTGTACATTATGTTTTGGTGTCATGTTGATACCTACTGATCTCCTGTACATTATGTTTTGGTGTCTTGTACATTATGTTTTGGTGTATTGTTGATACCTACTGATCTCCTGTACATTATGTTTTGGTGTCTTGTACATTATGTTTTGGTGTCATGTTGATACCTACTGATCTCCTGTACATTATGTTTTGGTGTCTTGTACATTATGTTTTGGTGTATTGTTGATACCTACTGATCTCCTGTACATTATGTTTTGGTGTCTTGTACATTATGTTTTGGTGTATTGTTGATACCTACTGATCTCCTGTACATTATGTTTTGGTGTCTTGTTTATATCTACTGGTCTCCTGTACATTATGTTTTGGAGTCTGTTGATACCTACTCGTCTCCTGTAGATTATGTTTTGGTGTCTTGTTGATACCTACTTTTGTCCTGTACATTATGTTTTGGTGTCTTGTTGATGCCTACTGGTCTCCAGTACATTATGTTTTAGTGTCTTATTGATACCTACTGGTCTCCTGTACATTATCATTATGTTTAGGTGTCTTGTTGATACCTACTGGTCTCCTGTGCATTATGGTTTCGTGTCTTGTTGACACATACGGGTGTCCTGTACATTATGTTTTGGTGTCTTGTTGATCCCTACTGGTCTCCTGTACATTATGTTTTAGTGGCTTGTTGATACCTACTGATCTCATGTACATTATGTTTAGGTGTCTTGTTGATACCTACTGGTCTACTGTACATTATGTTTTAATGTCTTGTTGATACCTACTGGTCTCCCGTACATTATGTTTTAGTGTCTTGTTGATACCTACTGATCTCATGTACGTTATGTTTTGGTGTCTTGTACATTATGTTTTGGTGTATTGTTGATACCTACTGATCTCCTGTACATTATGTTTTGGTGTCTTGTACATTATGTTTTGGTGTCATGTTGATACCTACTGATCTCCTGTACATTATGTTTTGGTGTCTTGTTTATATCTACTGGTCTCCTGTACATTATGTTTTGGAGTCTGTTGATCCCTACTGGTCTCCTGTAGATTATGTTTTGGTGTCTTGTTGATACCTACTGGGCTCATGTACATTATGTTTTGGTGTCTTGTTGATATTGATACCTACTGGTCTCCTGTACATTATCATTATGTTTAGGTGTCTTGTTGATACCTACTGGTCTCCTGTGCATTATGTTTTGGTGTCTTGTTGATACCTAATGGTCTCCTTTACATTATGTTTAGGTGTCTTGTTGATACCTACTGGTCTCCTATACATTATGTTTTGGTGTCTTGTACATTATGTTTTGGTGTATTGTTGATACCTACTGATCTCCTGTACATTATGTTTTGGTGTCTTGTTGATATTGATACCTACTGGTCTCCTGTACATTATGTTTTAGTGTCTTGTTGATACGTACTGATCTCATGTACATTATGTTTTGGTGTCTTGTTGATACCTACTGGTCTCCTGTACATTATGTTTTGGTGTCTTGTTGATACCTACTGGTCTCATGTACATTATGTTTTGGTGTCTAGTTGATATATACTGGTCTCATGTACATTATGTTTTGGTGTCTTGTTGATACCTACTGATCTCCTGTGCATTATGTTTTGGTGGCTTGTTGATGCCTACTGGTCTCATGTACATTATGTTTTCCTGTACATTATGTTTTGGTGTCTTGTTGATTCCTACTGGTCTCATGTACATTATGTTGTGGTGTCTTGTACATTATGTTTTGGGGTCTTGTTGATACCTACTGGTATCCTGTACATTATGTTTTGGTGTCTTATACATTATGTTTTGGTGTCTAGGTGATATATACTGGTCTCATGTACATTATGTTTTCCTGTACATTATGTTTTGGTGTCGTGTTGATACCTACTGGTCTCCAGTACATTATGTTTTAGTGTCTTGCTGATACCTACTGGTCTCCTGTAGATTATGTTTTGGTGTCTTGTTTATACCTACTGGTCTCATGTACATTATGTTGTGGTGTCTTGTACATTATGTTTTGGTATCTCGTTGATACCTACTGGTATCCTGTACATTATGTTTTGGTGTCGTGTTGATACCTACTGGTCTCCTATACATTATGTTTTGGTGTCTTGGTGATACCTACTGGTCTCCTGTACATTATGTTTTGGGGTCTTGTTGATACCTACTGGTCTTCTGTACATTATGTTTTGGTGTCTTATACATTATGTTTTGGTGTCTTGTACATTATGTTTTGGTGTCTTGTACATTATGTTTTGGTATCTCGTTGATACCTACTGGTATCCTGTACATTATGTTTTGGTGTCTCGTTGATACCTACTGGTATCCTGTACATTATGGTTTGGTCTCCGGTACATTATGTTATGATTTTAACTTGGTTTCTATCTTATTCTATTTATCTTGAGTCACAATGATTTTTTTGCCATTTGTTTTACAAAACAATACATATATACATCAAAATATGTTTCCTTGTGTAATTTACTAAATAACTAAGCTGGTACATTTATATTATTCAGGAATGAACTACTAGACGACCAAGGTACAAATGTTCCCGTGAAAAGAGGCTGTGTTGGATTTCCTTGTGTATACACCCATATGGCGGAAAGGGCAGGACGAGCTTCTATAGAACGATATATAGCCAAACTAATTGAAGACTGCATGAACGATGATCATTGTAATCCAGGTATGGATATAGTTTATATAATAACAACTGTTTACATTTCTCAAATTGCTGTGACTCTTTATAACCCATGTACAGGAAAATATCTTATGTAGTAACTGCCTGAACCGCTCCACTATCGTCTGCAGCTCTATGTAATCCAGATAGAAATAATAACAGCTGCCTGAACGTCTTCATGATCTGTGATTCTTTATAACCTAGACATAAATACATCATGCAAAGTAGTCATAGCTAGAATTTCACCATTCGGTGTGACTCTATAAAAGTAAATCAGGAATTTAAGTCATACGCTAGATTTAACTTTGTTTTATTTCATTAATGTATTATTTTAAATCAATCTATCTGACAGAGGATCTAGGTAAAACGCTAATGAAAACTTGAAGAATGGAGTTGAGTGAATATCTATTTTGAAATAAATTGATATCATAACTAGAAAAATGGAGTTGAATTGTTATCCAGGACGTCCCTGACGATTATATAACAGCCATACGAATTTATAACATTTTTCTAATTAAAACAGTCTTGTTCCATTTCAAAGTACATAAACAAGTTATGTATTGATATACGTTAAATGAACGATGGAATGCTACATAAGGTTTAAATTATATCGTCATTATCATGAGGTATATCACAATGCGTTCGCTTACTTAAATTGATTCGCTGTAGTTTTAGGTTCGTGGAATGGGGGTCCTTATAGTTGGTAGGCATTGCAAAGCTTTATTAAATATAGGGAATTACTTGTTACCTAATTCATTTAAGAGTATATGTCGTCATTGAATGTTTTGCTTCTGATGGCAATCGAACAAGGAAGGAACCGATAGTATGCTGAATTATTCCTAGCAAAGAGGACGGCAATAATTTCATTTAAGATTTCCTCATCTCATTTCCCGCAGCAAAATCAGTGTTATTAGATTTGTCACAATTTCTTGACGAATTGTGATGTGTATACATTTTTCAGAATAATCGTTTTGAGACATGTAGAGAATATCTGAATATGAAATTGCATGAACCGTATAAAAGCAATGTGATTTTTTATGGCTGGAAAACATACTTCAATTTATGAAAAAAAACCACTGCAGCCTAACTTATCAGGACTCTTTTACTACCAAACGCACACCGGAACCTAGCTAGCACGGGATATCATACTTAGGTTACAGGCTAGAAACTTGTTTGAAAATACATTGATTCATCAGTATGCACCTAAAATCTTGCGATTTTAAATCCATTATCCTGTACGACACAATAATCTCCAAAATCCAGACTCCCATGTTTTGGTTATACGTTTGAACCTAGTATATAATGGGCCCAGAACCCAATACTCCATTTATAAAAGTAAATCTCATTATTCTAGAATCCTGAAGTAAATTAGGACTCCGATTATCCAGTACATACACTAATATTCATTTGTTTCATACTCCTATAATCATAACCGTATAAACCCATACTTAATTATTCCGGATGTACTTTAGAACCAGAGAGGGGCATTATTTTTTTGTCTGAGTGTCTTCTCAATTTTACTTACTCTTGGTGTATGATGTTCACGTGAATTGACGCTAAGGTTTCTTTAGTCCCAGTGAGTTGACGATATGGTATATATTGTCACAAGGGAATTTACGCTAAAGTATAGTTTGTCCTTGTGAGGTGGTGCTCAAGCAATTTGGTCTGGTGTGTTGACATCGTGGTATATTTTGTACTGGTGTGTTGACATCATGGAATATTTTGTACTGGTGAGGTGACATCGTCGTGTAGTTTGTACTGGTTTGTTGATGCTAAGGTATTGTTTGTTTTAGTGGGTTGGAGCTATGGTACATTTTGTTCTGGTGTGTTGACATCGTTGTATATTTTGTACTGGTATGTTGACATCGTGGTGTATTTTGTACTGGTGTATTGACGCTATGGTTTATTTTGTCCTAGTGAATATACGATATGGTGTATTTTGTCCTAGTGAGTTGGCGCACTGGTGTATTTTTTATGTTGAGTTGACATCGTGGTATATTTTGTACTGGTGTGTTCACGTTATGGTATATTTAGTCCCAGTGAGTTGACACTTTGGTATATTTTGTACTGGTGTGTTCACGTAGTCCCAGTGAGTTGATATTTTGGTACAATTTTACTAGTGTGTTGAAATCATGTCGCAAGGCTAAAAAGGATGATAACTCAATCGACCAAATTATGCATTTTTTGTCATCTCAAATACTTCTAAAATCTTTTTTTGGCGCAGAGTCAGTAAAATACTATTTGTAATATACCTGATGTAACACATAGTACTATTGCCAGTTTCCCACTGCTCTATATAAGGAATGATGGCGTACACCAAACTAGAATATGAAAAAGGTTAGGTGGCCACAAGCTTTTACCTTTAACATTGAAACAAGGAAACAATTTCAACAAACAATTGAAATAAGAAATATATTAGTTTTAAGTAAAACCAATTATATTGAATGTATATGCATGAAATATTTAGATCAATTCAAATATAGTCCCGAAGACGCCAATTTTACCACTTCAGTAATTCAGAAACTACATGTATGGTGCATTCTGTATGGAAGCAAGGAAAATTACAAAGATTCCAATATGTATTTGATTCTCTGCCGATTTGAATTTAATAACAAATCGTTTATTTTCAGAGCGTACGGCAATATAAGTGAACAAAATCCGATAGGCACCATGACCATTCTTATTTAAATATACTATATATAGAATGATTGCCTTCAAAATCTCATTTGTATCCGGATAGAAACTAACAAAAGTAGAGACTTATAAATGACATAGAGTCATTTCTATCTACGGAAGATTAAAAAACAACGTAATCAATAACAAAAGTCAACATATCGTGATTCCGAAATAATTGAAAGCACAAGGAAATTCCCATTTTAATCATTTCTGGTTTTATTTCAACAATTTTCTGTGCGTCTGCATGCTTCTTTTCTTCCTCCTTACCTACTTATTTGTTCAATCTATTTGATGAAGTATCGTCTGTCTGTCTGTCGTTCATGTTTTGAAACATTTTCAGGTCTATTGTCAATTACAACTTCGGTCTCAATTGGCAAATCATGAATACTGCTGAACACAGCAACATGTAAATTGTTACCGACATAAATAATGCACCTAATATCTTTAATACCACCACAAAGGACTGTTTAAGATTTCACGTCCTCGCAACAGCTATCAAAGAGAGAAAAGAAACGGTGGAACCGAGACACCAAACAATGTGGTGTCTCCTACTGGCAATTCATAAGAAAGCAAAGCAGAATATACCGATTTTGTAGTGGACTCAATATGAGTCGTGGTCTACGTGTATATGAAACATGAAATGAGATACAGCAAGTGTATTCTACTCCCGAATATCCATTATTAAAACAAATCATAGAAAAGTAAGTAAATCAATAATAAAACAAAAACAGATCTAAAACGGTAAATTCTATGTAACCAAACACGTGTTATAGATCAATCAAGTCACACCTCTTTCCCTTAACATCGACCCTTCATACCAGAGAGTAGCCAGGAACACATAAATTGTAACCTAAACTCCGCTACATTAATAGGTACGCTATCCCTTAACCCGTGGAAACATGTCATTTACATGACCAACTCTGCTCTTTTACATTAAGTTAACAATCTAAAGTGTTACTGTTGCGCAAGTAAATTGTAATAAAAGACATTCTGGACACTTTGATTGTACAGGGACGCTTGTTTAACTTGTTTTGAGGGTGATGCGAATGTTTGAGATTAGGGCCCGATTCGTTTGCTGACGTCAGCATGTAACTGAGTAATGGCTTGTTACCGACAAACCAATTCTAAAGTGCATTTTGCTTTATCTAGAAGAAAACCTACTTGAATAGGAATGGTATCTCTCTTAGTGCGAAGGCAAGTGACTATTTTTTATAACGTTTCATATTCAGGAGCGCGGTAGTCTAGTGATAGGACGCCGGGCTCGTGACCTATTGGTTGCGGGTTCGAGTCACGTCACGGCACTGTGTTATATCTTTGAGCAAAATACTTTACTCTGTTTGTTCGAGTCTACTCAGTTGTAAATGAGTACGTGACTGAGCAGTGCTGTAATTGTTGAATGCTAGCTGTGATCGCCGAAATGGCAGCACCGGCTGTATGCTCCCCGAGAAAGATATGTGCTAGTTGCAAAGGCCAACCACGGATAATCATTTGTGAACTGCTTTGAGACGACCTACGAACTAGGTTTTGATAAAGATGTTTAAAAGAATCTCTGATTATTATAAATATTATTTCAATACTACAATATTCATATTTCACTCACGATTGATATCGTTTCCTTTCCGTGGTACAAGTCTCAAGCCTTCACTATTTCAGAACGTCCTCCAGGTGACAGAGCTTTTATAGTGATACGCCTTAACTACACCCCTGAAGTCATGTGTTATGTTTGAGTGGTTTTTATCCTCTCTGAGGAAATATCATGGTCCCCATTATGACATAATGTCCTACAGTGCGTATTTTTGTGTCTGCTCTGAAAATACATGCACTTCGTGGTGCACTTATAAACATATTTTGACAAAAACATAACGTGATGTGTAAAATAGGATGAAAGAAATTAGATCGCCAACCAAATACCTGGGCTAGCCTGTCGACTTCCGTTTTTGTTAAAGTTCTAGATGTCTGTTCTTCCAGTTTTTGCGTAATTTTGGTGGTTCTGTTATTTGCCTCCCCGTATCACCATTGGGCTATTATTTGAACAATATTCTTTGACAACGAGAACTTTATTAATTGATATTCCTAAACATGTTCTTTTCATGTTAATAAGTATGAATCGTAAAAAGGTACACAAATGTGTAAAATATGTACGAGTAGGCAATACGTAATCAAAACATGCCATTTCTAAATCAACGCCGATTTTGTAGTGGCAATTCGTACATATTCCACGCCTATGTGTACAGAAGCTTCAATGGTCATTTTTCTGATCAAGGTGACAGAAGCCGTACCCTACTAGTCATCCAATAGTCACACATAAACGCATACTGGTTATAATACATAACCTTTCTACAATGGGTTATTTTATATATATTTATTTATTAAAGTATATTATTCGAAAGTTATATTTTATTGCCTTTGCAGGAAAAAGAAGGAGGAGGTCGTTAAAGAACCAGCTTAGACAACGGCGATCATCCACTTGGTGAAGAGTTACCAATGATCTCCTGGACACTACATCAGAATGCCGAGAGGGAAATTAAGCGGCAAACCTGATCCGGCTTGATCAACATAAACAGATTAAATAGGAACAATTTAATTGATTTCAATATTTTTATATGAGAATTGATTTTACATATATTTTCCCAGCGAAAAGCCATTTCTTATGGTAAAGCTTTTCCTACTAGAGTGTCTTTGCATTTCTTTGTGGATAAGGATATTGCATTAAGAAAAAAGCTATTGAAAATTAAATTGTCGAGATTAAAAGGAGGGGCAACAATGAAGAACCTTTGCTTGTTCGATTGTTAGAATGGTTTTGTTTATTTCAAGTCGGTAACTACCATCCATCTTGTATCGTGCTTGGTGAGCATTAGGGCTTGATTTGGACAGGTTCGACGATGTCTAAATGAGTGAAAGAGCGAAATTGGATTTGGTTATTTTAAATCAATAAATTGTCAAACATGGTATTTACACTATAATATTGTCAAATAATGAAATAACGAAATATAATAATCCGGTGTACTGCATGGATCTAAATCGATAGAAAGTGAATAGTTTAATTATATAATTGGTGAAAATGCTGAAGGTAAACCTCTCTGCATGTAGCATCCTTTGTGTCGCAGCTTAAGTCTTGTTAAATTGTAGTATCCTAAATTCGAGCAAGTTTAGTTGGTTTGCCATTTTATTTACATTACATATCGATACTTCTTATTCACTGTCATTCAGGAGGAGTCTTTGTAGCACAGTTCGGATAATGCTTACAATATCAAAATGAGTTTCTGGTGTTTTTCGGTTTTGGTATTATGGAAATAAAGGTACAATGAAGAGGATACGGTACATCAAAAGATCGTTATGCGTTTTCAATGTAAAAAATAACGCAACTATCTTATTTTTCAAATAATATTACAATGCTGAAAACAAGTGGAATCTCGTCTTTAAAAAAAGTGTAGGTCCGATCATTTATACCTTGTTTGTCACAACCAATCAAGTAATTTTGACATTATTTAAATGTTATGAAATAGTATTTCACTCATATAAAGACACAATAAATTGCAGTTTTTAATACAAATACTAATTTCCATTACGAAATAGATAAATTTGAAATAATAATGAATTGATCTTTATTTTAAGAGAACTGGTCTCATTTCAGTAGCAATAATCCAAGATAAAAACTGGAGGATTTCATGAGTAACCGAAACGTCCGGAAGCGATGCCGCTCTCGTTAACGAGACCTGCAATAACATCTACTGATCACTGAACTGTAATACAGAGTGAAAAGTGAAATATATAGTATGTTGTAAGAAGGTTTGAGTTACATTTGCGGTAGGCGTATCTGTTGTAAAAGCTATGTTTCAACGCAGCGCACAACTCGATGACTTTATTATTATGAAGCTGCTGTCAAATTTCTGATTTAGTTCATCACCTTGACATGTTTTATTGAAAGTATCAGTGTTAGCTGTGAAACATATCTATAATAATTGACGAAGCTTAAAGTAAGAACATATCAAAGTAATCAGATTTTCTTTTCATTTTAATTTCCCATGTGAATAACAGAGGATCGATATACTTTTCACTCAATAACAAAAATGTAATGAATTTCTGTTTGTACATACAAAGATTCGAAATTGATCAAGATTTACAAAGATAATTTTGCATAAACATCATACCAAACTGTGATTACTTTCTGTGGGAGTTTAATCACACAGATTATTCATTAGCATCGAGGCGATCCAATTTTCCTCTTTGTAAACATTTCTATAGAACCATTTCAAGCCTTCATGTCTACCCTGAACACATTAATTGTTATTAAAATAGGATATTTGATTACAATTTGAAAAAGATATTTTTGAATCATTGGAAAATAAACAATTTCCAGACAAAAAAACTCGTTTTGTTTATTTCTTTTTTCTTTCTTTTCAATCACATGGACATATTTTAAAGATGTTTTTCTTCGGTGTGTAAAGCGATTTTGTTCTTATAGGGTCGTTTTATATCGCCGAAAACTGCATACCACCACGCGTTGCATTGCATTTATGACATAAAGGATTATACAGTATATAAGCATAAAGGAGTATACAGTATATATAAACATAAAGGAGTATACAGTATATAAACATAATGGAGTATACAGTATATAAACATAAAGGAGTATATAGTATATACACATAAAAGAGTATACAGTATATAAACATAATGGAGTATACAGTATATAAACATAATGGAGTAAACAGTATATACACATAAATGAGTATACAGTATATAAACATAACGGAGTATACAGTATATAAACATAACGGAGTATACAGTATATAAACATAAAGGAGTATACAGTATATAAACATAACGGAGTATACAGTATATAAACATAAAGGAGTATACAGTATATAAACATAACGGAGTATACAGTATATAAACATAAAGGAGTATACAGTATATAAACATAACGGAGTATACAGTATATAAACATAAAGGAGTATACAGTATATAAACATAACGGAGTATACAGTATATAAACATAAAGGAGTATACAGTATATAAACATAACGGAGTATACAGTATATAAACATAAAGGAGTATACAGTATATAAACATAACGGAGTATACAGTATATAAACATAAAGGAGTATACAGTATATAAACATAACGGAGTATACAGTATATAAACATAAAGGAGTATACAGTATATAAACATAACGGAGTATACAGTATATAAACATAAAGGAGTATACAGTATATAAACATAACGGAGTATACAGTATATAAACATAAAGGAGTATACAGTATATAAACATAACGGAGTATACAGTATATAAACATAAAGGAGTATACAGTATATAAACATAACGGAGTATACAGTATATAAACATAAAGGAGTATACAGTATATAAACATAACGGAGTATACAGTATATAAACATAAAGGAGTATACAGTATATAAACATAACGGAGTATACAGTATATAAACATAAAGGAGTATACAGTATATAAACATAACGGAGTATACAGTATATAAACATAAAGGAGTATACAGTATATAAACATAACGGAGTATACAGTATATAAACATAAAGGAGTATACAGTATATAAACATAACGGAGTATACAGTATATAAACATAAAGGAGTATACAGTATATAAACATAACGGAGTATACAGTATATAAACATAAAGGAGTATACAGTATATAAACATAACGGAGTATACAGTATATAAACATAAAGGAGTATACAGTATATAAACATAACGGAGTATACAGTATATAAACATAAAGGAGTATACAGTATATAAACATAACGGAGTATACAGTATATAAACATAAAGGAGTATACAGTATATAAACATAACGGAGTATACAGTATATAAACATAAAGGAGTATACAGTATATAAACATAACGGAGTATACAGTATATAAACATAAAGGAGTATACAGTATATAAACATAACGGAGTATACAGTATATAAACATAAAGGAGTATACAGTATATAAACATAACGGAGTATACAGTATATAAACATAAAGGAGTATACAGTATATAAACATAACGGAGTATACAGTATATAAACATAAAGGAGTATACAGTATATAAACATAACGGAGTATACAGTATATAAACATAAAGGAGTATACAGTATATAAACATAACGGAGTATACAGTATATAAACATAAAGGAGTATACAGTATATAAACATAACGGAGTATACAGTATATAAACATAAAGGAGTATACAGTATATAAACATAACGGAGTATACAGTATATAAACATAAAGGAGTATACAGTATATAAACATAACGGAGTATACAGTATATAAACATAAAGGAGTATACAGTATATAAACATAACGGAGTATACAGTATATAAACATAAAGGAGTATACAGTATATAAACATAACGGAGTATACAGTATATAAACATAAAGGAGTATACAGTATATAAACATAACGGAGTATACAGTATATAAACATAAAGGAGTATACAGTATATAAACATAAAGGAGTATACATTATATAAACATAAAGGAGTATACAGTATATAAACATAACGGAGTAAACAGTATATAAACATAACTGAGTATACAGTATATACACATAAAGGAGTATACATTATATAAACATATAGGAGTATACAGTATATAAACATAATGGAGTATACAGTATATAAAAATAAAGGAGTATACATTATATAAGCATAACGGAGTATACATTATATAAGCATAACGGAGTATACATTATATACACATAAATGAGTATTCAATATATAAACATAACGAAGTATACAGTATATAAAAATAAAGGAGTATACAATATATAAACATAATGAAGTATACAGTATATAAAAATAAAGGAGTATACATTATATAAGCATAACGGAGTATACAGTATATAAACATAACGGAGTATACAGTATATAAACATAATGAAGTATACAGTATATAAACATAACGGAGTATACAGTATATACACATAAATGAGTATTCAATATATAAACATAAAGGAGTATACAGTATATAAACATAACGGAGTATACAGTATATAAACATAATGGAGTATACAGTATATAAACAAAATGCAGCAAAAAGCAACAAACAGAATAAGGAACTATATAGTGCAACAGAAAAGCGTTTTATAAACTGCAATGGCCGTACAGGCTTTGTTTTGTTACAGGTTTTTAATAGATCAATATGTACACTACTAGATGACATATTTACGATGGATCAATGGACAAATCTAGTGTGATTTCTAAAACAAAAATAACAAATTTAATCTTAAGAAGTGGTTTGAGAAAGCTCAGAACTGCAACTAAAGACTAAAAACTTCGTTTGAGAACCGGGCTTATCAGAGTTATCATACCTGATAAATGTCTAATACATGACCGTTAGTTAAAAAATGGACTCCCAATATATTACAACAGAGAAAGTGTGTTTGTCTGGAATTATGAATGTCATGTTTGATAGATGTCTTGCGTCACATTGGTTTAAAACTTGTTCAATGCTTGGGTGTCATAAATAAAGTTATTGTTTAATACTGGTGCAATATTGATTTTTAGATAAATAGAAATAAGGCATGTAAATAAACTTCGACAGATTATTGTTTTTCATAATTATGAGGAACCTGTCGTCAATTTCGTAGTGATAACTTCTGGAATTTCTATTTAAAAACATATCTATGAACAATAATATTTCATACACTTATTTTGAGTTTAAAGATAAAGTATTATCGTTCAGGAGACAAAAATAGGTGACACCGATTTTAAAAAGGTCCATTAACCCGGATTATTCCACAGGAAATCTAGAAAATGTCCATCACTTGAAGTTTCCTGAAGTCCAAACGTTTTCCCTTGGACATTTACTAAGAGAAAACATACTTGTGTTATACAGGACACAGACATTATTTGTATAACCTATTTACTTGAAGAGCTACATTTGTTACTCCAGCTGAAATTTGCTTATTCTGACAAGCTGTCATTACGTCAAACCAATTCCAAACTTAAGTATGCCTATTGATATGACAGTTCCTGCTGTGAGAAGTATATAGACCTGATATCGGCTGGTACTATATTGTGTCACGTGTGACGAGTCTTTGTCTCGTATTACCTACCTGCGCTTTACATTTGTCTGGTTCCGCAACGATGCGTGACAAATCCTACATAACCGAAAATGTGTGACGAATCCCATCTAACCGAAACTGTGTGACGAATCCCAGCTAACCCAGGCTGTGTGACAATTCCTAAGTAACCAAAACCGTGTGACAATTCCTAGCTAACCGAAGCTGTGTCATGAATCCTAGGTAACCGAAGCTGTGTAACGAATCCTAGGTAACCCAAGCTGTGTGACGAATCCTAGGTAACCCAAACTGTGTCACGAATCCTAGGTAACTCAGGCTCTGTGACGAGTGTCACGAATCCTATGTAACTTAAGGGCTGTGACGAATTATAGGTAACCAAATGTGTGTCACAAATCCTAGGTAACAAAAGGTGTGTCAAAAATCCTAGGTAACCTAAGCTGTGTGACGAATCCCAGCTAACTCAGACTGAATGACGAATCCCAGGGTACCGAAACTGTGTGACGAATTCTAGGTTACTCAGGCTGTGTGACGAATCGTAGGTGACCAAAGGTGTGTGACGAATCCTAGGTAATCTAAGCTATGTGACGAATCTTAGGTAACTCAGGCTGTGTGATTAATCCTAAGTAACTTAAAGTGTGTGACGAATCCTAGGTAACTTAATATGATGAATCGTGGGTAACCAAAGATGTGTCACAAATTCTAGGTACACAAAGCTGTGTGACGACTACTAGGTAACCGTAGCTATGTGACCAATCATAGGTAACCAAATGTGTGTCATGAATCATAGGCAACCCTAGCTGTGTAACGAATCCTAGGTAACCGTAGCTGTGTGACGAATCCTAGGCAACCGTAGCTGTGTGACGATTCATAGGTAACCAAAGGTGTGTCATGAACCATAGGTAACCCTAGCTGTGCAACGAATCCTAGGTAACCGTAGCTGTGTGACGAATCCTAGTTAACCCTAGCTGTGTGACGATTCATAGGTAACCAAAGGTGTGTCATGAACCATAGGTAACCCTAGCTGTGTAACGAATCCTAGGTAACCGTAGCTGTGTGACGAATCCTAGTTAACCCTAGCTGTGTCACGAATCCTAGGTAAGCGTAGCTGTGTGACGACTCCTAGGAAACCGTAGCTTTGCGACGAATCATAGCTAACCAAAGGTGTGTCATGAATCATAGGTAACCCTAGCTGTGTAAGGAATCCTAGGTAACCGAAGCTGTGTCACGAATCCTAGGTTACCCAAGCTGTGGGACGAATCCTAGGTAACCCAAGCTGTGTGACGAATCCTAGGTAACCGTAGCTGTGT